AGTTCCACTGCTGAACGGCTCTCACAGTCAGGAAGTTCTTCCTCATGTTCAGATGGAATCTCCTTTCTTGTAGTTTGAAGCCATTGTTCCATTGCGTCCTAGTCTCCAGGGAAGCAGAAAACAAGCTTGCTCCCTCCTCCCTGTGGCTTCCTCTCACATATTTATACATGGCTATCATATCCCCTCTCAGCCTTCTCTTCTTCAGGCTAAACATGCCCAGCTCCTTAAGCCGCTCCTCATAGGGCTTGTTCTCCAGACCTTTTATCATTTTAGTCGCTCTCCTCTGGACACATTCCAGCTTGTCAATATCTCTCTTGAATTGTGGTGCCCAGAACTGGACACAATATTCCAGATGTGGTCTAACCAAAACATAATAGAGGGGTAGCATTACTTCCCTAGATCTAGACACTATGCTCCTATTGATGCAGGCCAAAATCCCATTGGCTTTTTTTGCTGCCACATCACATTGTTGGCTCATGTTTAACTTGTTGTCCACGAGGACTCCAAGATCTTTTTCACACGTACTGCTCTCGAGCCAGGCATTGTCCCCCATTCTGTATCTTTGCATTTCGTTTTTCCTGCCAAAGTGGAGTATCTTGCATTTGTCACTGTTGAACTTCATTTTGTTAGTTTTGGCCCATCTCTCTAATCTGTCAAGATCGTTTTGAATCCTGAATATAATATATTATAATTACATAATATAACATAAAGTAATGTAATATATTGCATATACATATAATATTTATAATATTACAATATAATGCAATATAATACTACTACAAATAATATATTATAATTATATATTTATATTACATGTAATATTACTATGATTAACCTTCCTAATGCCGCGACCCCTTAATACAGTTCCTCATGTGACCCCCAATAATGTTATGGTTGGTGACCCCCAACCATAACATTATTTTAACATGCTACTTCATAACTTTAATATAATGTAATATAATATATTATACTATAATTACATAATATAATGTAATGTAATGTAATATATTGTCTATACATATAATATTTATAATATTATAATATAATGCAATATAATACTACTACTAATAATATATTATAATTATATATTTATATTACATGTACTATTACTAATAATATTACAATATAATGGTATAGTATTATTTAATACTGATATTGTACTATGCTAATAACAGTGTGTGTATATATATATATATATATATATATATATATATATATATTGTAAGGCGCTCTGAGTCTCTTTGGGGTGAGAAGGGAGGCATATAAATGTCATAAATCAATCAATCAATCAATAAATTTGCAACTGTTATGAATTGTAATGTAAATGTATTGTCGAAGGCTTTCATGGCCGGAATCACTGGGTTGTTGTAGGTTTTTTCGGACTATATGGCCATGGTCTAAAGGCATTCTCTCCTGACGTTTCGCCTGCATCTGTGGCAAGCATCCTCAGAGGTAGTGAGGTCTGTTGGAACTAGGAAAAAGGGTTTATATATCTGTGGAATGACCAGGGTGAGACAAAGGACTCTTGTCCGCTGGAGTTAGGTGTGAATGTTTCAACTGACTACCTTGATTACCATACAATGGGCTGGCTGTGCCTGGAGCAATCTTTTGTAGAGAGGTGATTAGATGTCCTTGTTTGTTTCCTCTCTTGTTTGTTGTGCTGTTGCAATTTTAGAGTTTTTTTAATACTGGTAGCCAGATTTTGTTCATTTTCATGGTTTCCTCCTTTTTGTTGAAATTGTCCACATGCTTGTGTATTTCAATGGCTTGGAGTTGAAGATGCAGGCAAAACGTCAGGAGAGAATTCCTCTAGACCATGGTTGGCCATACACCCCGAAAAAACCTACAACAACCCATTACATTTTTATGTATATAGAACAGGGGTCCTCAAACTAAGGCCCGAGGGTCAGATACGGCCCTCCAAGGTCATTTACCCGGCCCTCGCTCAGGGTTAACCTAAGTCTGAAATGACTTGAAAGCACACAACAAAACAACAACAATCCTATCTCATCAGCCAAAAGCAGGCCCACACTTCCCATTGAAATACTAATAAGTTTATATTTGTGAAAATTGTTATTTTTTAATTATTGCATTTTAAAGTACTTTTTGCACTACAAATACGATATGTGCAGTGTGCATAGGAATTATTATTTTTTATTTTTTTATAATACATTTTTATTAGACATTTTAAACATCAACACAAGGAAAGAGGGAGAACATTTCAAAAGAAGACAGAAAAGTAGAAAAGTATTGTTTTTAAGTTTTTTTTTTGCACTACAATAAAGGTATGTGCAGTGTGCATAGGAATTCATTCTTTTTTTTTTTTTCCAAATTATAATCCGGCCCTCTAACAGTTTGAGCGACTGTGACCTGGCCCTCTATGTAAAAAGTTTGAGGACCCTTGATATAGAAGATATAGATCAAAGCATTTCTATAAAATACACATTAATGGCACAGCAAAGAGACCTAAGCACAGGACAGGAGTTTAACCATCATCAGGTTGAAAACAAACCAAGAAAAGACATTGTGACTGTAAAAAAAAAAATTAAAAGTTGCTTTTTTCTGCTTTGGTTGTTTTCTTTCATAAGGAGGAGGGAACAAGCTTGTTTTCTGCTTCCTTGGAGACTAGGACGCAATGGAACAATGGCTTCAAACTACAAGAGAGGAGATTCCATCTGAACATGAGGAAGAACTTCCTGACTGTGAGAGCCGTTCAGCAGTGGAACTCTCTGCCCCGGAGTGTGGTGGAGGCTCCTTCTTTGGAAGCTTTTAAACAGAGGCTGGATGGCCATCTGTCAGGGGTGATTTGAATGCAACATTCCTACTTCTTGGCAGAATGGGGTTGGACTGGATGGCCCATGAGGTCTCTTCCAACTCTTTGATTCTATGATTCAATGGCTTGGAAGTGCCTGGGGGGAATCTTTTGTTGAGAGTGATTTTATGTGCCTGGTTGTTTTCCCTCTGTTGTTTTGCTGTTGTAATTTTAGAGTTTTTTTAATACTGGTAGCCAGATTTTGTTCATTTTCATGGTTTCCTCCTTTCTGTTGAAATTGTCCACATGCTTGTGGATTTCAATGGCTTCTCTGTGTAGTCTGACATGGTGGTTGTGAGAGTGGTCCAGCATTTCTGTGTTCTCAAATAATATGCTGTGTCCAGGCTGGTTCATCAGGTGCTCTGCTCTGGCTGACTTCTCTGGTTGAAGTAGTTCCTTGATTCGTGTCCGGGCAATGCTGCTGCGTTTGGTGTTCCCTCTGTAGACTTGTCCACAGCTGCATGGTACACAGTAGACTCCTGCAGAGGTGAGAGGATCCCTCTTGTCCTTTGCTGAACGTAGCATTTGTTGGATTTTCTTGGTGGGTTTGTAGATTGTTTGTATGTTGTGTTTCCTCATCAGCTTCCCTATGCGGTCAGTGGTTCCCTTGATGTATGGCAGGAACACTTTTACTCTGGGTGGATCTTCGTCTTGACTCTCGTGGCTTGTTCTTGGTCTTGCAGCTCTTCTGATGTCTGAGGTGGAGTCTCCATTGGCCTGGAGAGCCCAGTTGAGGTGGTTCAAGCTTGTTTTCTGCTTCCCTGGAGACTAGGACAAGGAACAATTTCTTCAAACTACAAGAAAGGAGATTCCATCTGAACATGAGGAAGAACTTCCTGACTGTGAGAGCCGTTCAGCAGTGGAACTCTCTGCCCCGGAGTGTGGTGGAGGCTCCTTCTTTGGAGGCTTTTAAACAGAGGCTGGATGGCCATCTGTCAGGCGTGATTTGAATGCAATATTCCTGCTTCTTGGCAGAATGGGGTTGGACTGGATGGCCCATGAGGTCTCTTCCAACTCTTTGATTCTATGATTCTATGATTTTTCTTTCTTTTAAACATTGCTTTTTTCTGTTTTTATATAGACAGATACTGATCAAAGCATTTCTATAAAATCGCACAGGAAAGAGACCAAAACACAGAACAGGTGTTTAACCATCATCAGGTTGAAAACTAATCAAGGAAAAACTTTGCTACTGCATTTTTTTTTCTTTTTCTTCCTTTAAAACAGTGTTTCTCAACCTGGGGGTCGGGACCCCTGAGGGGGTTGCGAAGGAGTGTCAGAGGGGTCGCCAAAGACCATCAGAAAACACTGTATTTTCTGTTGGTCATGGGGGTTCTGTGTGGGAAGTTTGGCCCAATTCTATCATTGGTGGGGTTCAGAACGCTCCTTGATTGTAGGTGAACTATAAATCCCAGTATCTACAAGTCCCAAATGTCAAAGTCTATTTTCCCCAAACCCCATCAGTGTTCACATTTGGGCATATTGAGTACCTGTAACAAGTTTGATCCAGATCCATCATTGTTTGTGCCCACAGTGCTCTCTGGATGTAGGCGAACTACAACTCCCAAACTCAAGGTCAATGCCCACCAATCCTTTCCAGTATTTTCTGTTGATCATGGGAGTTCTCTGTGCCAACTTTGGTTCAATTCCATTGTTGGTGGGGTTCAGAATGCTCTTTGTTTACATGTTAACTATATAAATCCCAGCAACTACAACTCCCAAATGACAAAATCAATCCCCCTGCCAACCCCACCATTATTCACATTTGGCATACTGGGTATTTGTGCCAAATTGGGTCCAGTGAATGAAAATACGTCCTGCAGATCATTATTTACATAGCGATTCATAATGTTAGAGTTATGGTTGGGGGTCACCACAAAATGAGGAACTGTATTCAGGGGTCGTGGTATTAGGAAGGTTGAGAACCACTGCTTTAAAAGTTGTTGTTTTTTCCTGCTTTGGTTGTTTTCTTTCCCTGCTGCAGTGCCGCTGCCGGCCAGGAGGGGGAGCGCGTCGCCGCTCTTCCAGACTAAGGAAAGAGCTTAGGCGCGGAGTGTACCATCGCGGGCACCGGAAAGGGGAGAGGAAGGCATCTTCTCATGATTCCACCTAGCTCAGAATGGAAGGCGCCGGGCAGCTGCTTTCCAATCCAGAGGAAGCGGGAGCGCTCTGCGCATGCGCACCGTGGCTACTGGACTTCAATGGGGCAGCTAAGCAGGGCAGGCGCGGTGGGCGCGGCGGTGGCGGCTGTGTACGTGGGAACGCTGCCCCCCTCTGTGCCCGGGGGGGACTCCGGTAACGTAGCAGGACCTTTGCACCCACTCAAACCAAGTGCATGCACCACCTTGCCCCAAATGCCTATGTTTCAATGGGGGTTGCCACATTCCAAAGTGGAGGGGGCTCCTGTGCCCTTGAGTGCTAGAAATCACAGAGTTGCAAAATACAAACCTGGAGTGGGAGGGCTTTGCATTCAATTGCTGCCACTTCCAAAGCTGAAAGTGGGCTCCTGTGCCTTTTATTAAGGCCAGGTCCAAAATTAGTGCATTTGGACTGTTTTTCAGGCTGCATGGCCACGTGCCAGTAGCATTCTCTCCTGACGTTTCGCCTGCATCTGTGGCTATATCAGGCACGGGCAAACTTGGACCCTCCAGGTGTTTTGGACTGTTTTTCAGCCTGCGTGGCCAGTAGCATTCTCCTGATATAGCTACAGATATACAATGCAGATATAGAATGCTACTGCGTGCCAGTAGCAATCTCTCCTGACGTTTTGCCTGCATCTGTAGCTATATCAGGCATGGGCCAACTTGGGCCCTCCAGGTGTTTTGGGCTGTTTTTCAGGCTGCGTGGCCATGTGCCGGTAGCATTCTCTCCTGACGTTTCGCCTGCATCTGTAGCTATAGCAGGCATGGGCCAACTTGGGCCCTCCGGGTGTTTTGGACTGTTTTTCAGGCTGCGTGGCCATGTGCCAGTAGCATTCTCTCCTGACGTTTCGCCTGCATCTGTAGCTATATCAGGCATGGGCAAACTTGGGCCCTCCGGGTGTTTTGGACTGTTTTTCAGGCTGCGTGGCCATGTGCCAGTAGCATTCTCCTGATATAGCTACAGATATAGAATGCAGATATAGAATGCTACCAGTAGCATTCTCTCCTGATGTTTCGCCTGCATCTGTGGCTATATCAGGCATGGACAAATTTGGGCCCTCCAGGTGTTTTGGATCGTTTTTCAGGCTGCATGGCCATGTGCCAGTAGCATTCTCTCCTGATGTTTCGCCTGCATCTGTAGCTATATCAGGCATGGGCAAATTTGGGCCCTCCGGGTGTTTTGGACTTCTAACTCCCACAATTCCTAACAGTTATAATTATATCCCACCCTATCTCCCCCCTTGGGACTTAGGACGGTTTACAAGTTGTGGCAAATACAATACTAAACAATGAATGTACTAACCAACACCACCCATATCTAATGGCATCTTCAGAGGTCTGTTGGAGGTGAGGCAATTGCAACATTCACACTTGCTTCAAACAGGGAAGGATTCCTTCTCCCACATTGGACAGTCCACACACACACACATATATATATGCACACACTAGCCGTCCCCTGCCATGCGTTGCTGTGGCCCAAATGGGGGTTCTGTGTGGGAGGTTTGGCACAATTCTATCATTGGTGAGGTTCAGAATGCTCTTTGATTGTAGGTGTACTATAAATCCCAGAAACTACAACTCCCAAATGTCAAGATTCAATTTTCCCCAAACTCCACCAGTGTTCACGTTTTGGCATAGTGAGGATTCGTGTAGAGTTTGGTCCTGATCCATCATTGTTTGAGTCCACAGTGCTTTCTGGATGTAGGTGAACTACAACTCCAAAACCAAAGGACACCACCCACTAAACCCTTCCAGTATTTTCTGTTGGTCATGGGAGAACTGTGTGCCAAGTTTGGTTCAATTCCATCGTTGGTGGGGTTCAGAATGCTCATTGATTGTAGGTGAACTATAAATCCCAGCAACTACATCTCCCAAATGACAAAATCAGTTTTTTTGAGTGAAGGACATACATTGGGTTGTTAAGTGTCTTGTGTCCAAATTTGGTGTCAATTCGTCCAGTGGTTTTTGAGTTATGTCAATCCCACAAATGAACATTACATTTTTATTTATATAGATACTTAATGCGATCCCTCGTAGTCCGAGGATGATGGCCCTCCAAGTGTAGTATCCTGGCGGTGGGTCTATAGGTGACTGTGGAGCCCTATTCTTGGTATATATATATGTGTGTGTATATATATATATATATATATATATATATATATACACACACACACACACACACACACACACACACAAACAAACTACTCTGAATACGCCATTAGCCACAGATGGGGGAGAAACGTCAGGAGAGAATGCTACTGGGAACATGGCCATACAGGCCGAAAAACTCCCAGGAACTCAGTGATTCCAGCCGTGATAGCCTTCTACAACACAATAATAAAAGTGTCAGCAACCACCTCCAGTTTTGAATCTGGAAACCCTAATTTTGCATTTCCTTGCCATGCTTCCATTTATCTGTGCTGAGTATGAAAAAAAAATGGCAAGTGACCTCAACACCGCCGGGGCCACTTTTACTGGTTTGTGCCAGAATCTGTGCAGTTTGGCCAGCTTTTCCAGTTGTTTCTCTTCAATCCTGCTCTCGCCAGGGATTGTAACATTGATGATCCATACTTTGTTTTTTAACACGATTGTGAGGTCAAGAGTGTTGTGCTCCAGAACTCTGTCAGTCTGAATTCAGATGTCCCCGAATAGTTTGATTTGTTCATTTTCTGTAACTCTTTCCAGCTTGTGATCCCACCACTTCTTTGTTGCAGGCAGATGGTATTTGTGGCATAAATTCCAATGAACAGTGTTATGTCTCTGCTTCTTCTTGTTGTTGTTATTATTTGAAACACAACAAGATGAGTCCACAGCATACACTCGTTGTATTGGATCACACGTTGGACACTTCCCAAGTGTCTAGGACTGTGTGATGTATCGACGAATAATGCATGCAGATCCCAGTAAGGTGGCCTTCTGCAACTGCAGATGGTAATTTTGTCAGCGCCGATTTTGTTTAAGTGCAGGCCAAGGTCTTTAGGCACTGCACCCAGTGTGCCGATCACCACTGGGACCACCTTGACTGGCTTGTGCCAGAGTCTTCGCAGTTCAATCTTTAAATCCTCATATCGTATCAACTTTTCCAGCTGTTTCTCTGCAATCCTACTGTCACCTGGATCCATACTTTGTTTTTTTTAACGATCCATACTTTGTTTTTTTTAACATGATCGTGAGGTCAGGAATATTGTGCTCCAAAACTCTGTCTGAATCGAGAAGTCCCAGAGTAGCTTGACGTGTTCATTCTCTGTAACTTTTTCCGGCTTGTGATCTCACCAGTGTTTGTGGTACAGGTTCCAATAAATCATCTGAGCAACGGTGTTGTGCCTCTGCTTGTAGTCTGTCTGCAGGATCTTCTTGCAGCAGCTGAGGATGTGATCTATTGTTTCATCTGCTTCCTTGAAGAGTCTACATTTGGGATCTGTTGTCAACTTTTCAATTCTGACTTTGATGGCATTGGTTCTAATGGCTTGTTCTTCGGCTGCAAGAAGTATTATTATTATTACTATTATTATCAGTTCCTAGCTGAAAACAATAATAAGGAAGAGAACGGGAAAGTCTAAATGTTGTGGTACTCTACCATATAGTCAATGTGTAATGGACAGAAAAGACAGTGTGAATAGAAAAGATATGACTAATGGTGGAGCATGACAACAGTTACACTTTCTCCTCCTCTTCCCTATCTATCTATCTATCTATCTATCTATCTATCTATCTATCTATCTATCTGTTTGTCTATCTAAATGCTCTGCTCATTTTGAGTGACATCATTTAGGAGTTGTAGTTGCTGGGATTTATAGTTAACCTACAATCAAATAGCATTATATTGTCGAAGGCTTTCATGGCTGGAATCACTGGGTTGTAGTTTTTTTCGGGCTATATGGCAATGGTCTAGAGGCATTCTCTCCTGACGTTTCACCTGCATCTATGGCAAGCATCCTCAGAGGTAGTGAGGTCTGTTGGAACTAGGAAAAAGGGTTTATATATCTGTGGAATGACCAGGGTGAGACAAAGGACTCTTGTCTGCTGGAGCTAGGTGTGAATGTTTCAACTGACCACCTTAATTAGCATATAATGGCCTGACAGTGCCTAGAGCAAACTTTTGTTGAGAGGTGATTAGATGTCCTTGTTTGTTTCCTCTCTGTTGTTGTGCTGTTGTAATTTTAGAGTTTTTTTAATACTGGTAGCCAGATTTTGTTCATTTTCATGGTTTCCTCCTTTCTGTTGAAGTTGTCCACATGCTTGTGGATTTCAATGGCTTCTCTGTGTAGTCTGACATGGTGGTTTGTGGTACTTTATTTCTATCTCACCCTTCTCTCGCTCCGAATTCAAGGCTGCTGAGAATTACAACAACAACAACACATTTCTGCACTCAACGCAAGGGCAGATTTTCACTGGTTCAGGGGTCTGAATTATGCTACCCTTTAGATTGCTTTGAGTGCAGAAATGTGTTGTTGTTGTTGTTGTAATTCTCAGCAGCCTTGAATTCCGAGCGAGAGAAGGGTGGTATAGAAATAAAGTACCACAAATAATAATAATAATAATAATAATAATAATAATAATAATAATACATTTCTGCACTCAGCACAAGGGCAGATTTCCACTAGTTCAGTGGTCTGTATTATGCTCCCCTTAGATAGCATTGGATTGTAATTCCCAGCAGCCTTAGCCAACATAGGCAATGGAGGGGATGCTAGAAATTGCAGTCCAAAAGCAACTGGCGGGCAATATGCCAGCACTAGTTCAATGAGACCGTATTTCGAATTATTTGATATTCTTTCAGCATTCAAACCCGTACATAAAAATTAGAAATTAAAACGGCCTGGGCGATTCTCACTTTTGGTATTTAATGAGCAGTCTTTACACTTGAGAGTTGTAGCTAATTCCTTCAAGGCTGCCTTTGCAATTAATAGTCATCATCTGATTTCTTGACTGCCGTCTCCATTTCGCTTAATGACTCTGAACCGAGGTGCAGGAGGAAGTCTTTATTTATTTCAGTATCTTCATCATCCATTTTAAAGTTAAGCAAATCATCTGTTTTTGTCGTCGGAATAGTCAGCTGTCGCCCTACTTTTTTTTGGCACTTTTTTCACCTTAACTTTCATCAGTGGTCATTCTAAGTCTTTGCTATTTTCTGCAGAATTTGGCATTCTTTGC